CCCCAACTCACAACCTTTTTTTTTTCTGACAGGAAAAAAAAAGTTTTTTTTATCACAACTCACAATCTTAAAATCCTTTATTCTATCACAAAATACCCTACTTTGAGAGTGAGGAATAGCTCAAGTGGTTAGAGCTTCCCTCCTGGCTCCAGGAGATTCTGGGATCGATTTTCACCCCGCCCTTGTGGCTCTCTAAACACCAAAAAAAAAACAAAATCCCCTACTTAAGTTTCTTTCGGTTTTTATCCTTTGTAAAAAAAAAAAAAAAAAAAAAAAAAAAAAAAAAAAAAATAAAATTAATTCTCTATTAAATTTTTCTGAAAAAAAAAATACAAATACTCATAAAAAAGAGTAAACTTATAAAATAAAAAGAGCAATAAAAATTAAAGCATGTACTGGGTAATAGTAAAAGTGGGAGAAAATACATGTCTCACAATGAGAAACATGTAATGTTAATCAACTGTCAACTTATGCGAGAAAATACATATTTCTCACATAGAGAACAAGTAAATTTTACCAAGTGGCAAGTTTGGTAAATAACTTGCACTGAAAATTGTAAAAAAAAACATTTAAGTATTTCATGCTATACATAATAGGGGTGAGCATGGGACTAGGGTTGAGCAAAAATTCCGGGTACCTGGAATTGGAACCGGAACCGGTTAGGAATCAGCGGGTCCGGAACCGGAATAGGACCCGGTGGTTCCAATTCCGGGTAATAAATTAAGGACCCGGTTATAACCAATTCCAATTCTCAATTTTTTGGAACCGGAACCGGTTGGGTATCCGGTTACCTAATTTATGCTAAAATAAATAAATTTTAAATAATAAAAATATGTTGAATGTATCTAATTTGTAAATTTAAAAATTATTATTATTACGTAACATAAATACAAATAGCTTAATGCATGTATAAATATAAGTGAGTATTAAATGCTAAAAATGAACCTAACTAAAATAAAAATTATAATTTGTATTATATTTTAACAATTACATACATAAGTGGGTACCCGGAACCGGTACCCGGTGGTTCCAATACCAATTCCTAAATTTTAGGACCTGGTTGAACCAATTCCAATCCCGGATCTGAATTTTAGGACCCGGTTTCAACCAATTCCAAGTCCAGGTCCTAAAATTTTGGCCGGGTACCCGGTTTGCTCACCCCTACATGGGACGGATATCCCTACCGTTAGTGCTAACGGTTCTGGTACTCGATAACCAATATCACTAAAAGTGATATTGTTAAATGCGGGTTTGGGCTGCACCCGCAAACCAAGAGAGAGAGACTTCACTTCACAGGATTAAAGGAGGTTCCATCCCAAAAACCATATGGCAATAGGAGGAGTAGCTCCTTAGCCTTATAAAGTGTTTTACTCTCTCTTCTTCAACCAATGTGGGACACTTACATGTGGTGACACTTGAGAGGTTTATTCTTCAACACTCTCCTCCACATGTAAGGTCCCTTCTAACTTTGTCTCATGTGATTTTTCGGGCTAAAGTGCTTCTTTACTCTCCCTCCCATGGACCTACTCTTGGCCCAGTGAACTTTTTAAGGTCCCATATCTTGGGCCTGACTCTGATACCATGTTAAAAGACCAACTCAACCATCAAAGGTTAAGCTGATAGTTGAGGCCCACGAATATGTATTATATCTATCACTTTCCCTCACATGAAAGGCCCTTTGGGCTTGAAATATGGATGCAATACAGGCCCACCCATACCTGGTGCGAATTAATTCCACTTTAAAGGCGGGGCGGGTGAGATTCGAACCCGTGACCTCTATATCACGTTGGCTCCGATACCATGTTAATGGACCAAGTCAACCAAAAGCTTAAGTTGATGGTTGAGGTCCAGGAATATGTTTTATACTCTATCACGCCCTCTCACATGAGAGCCCGTTTAGGATAGAATTTTGGATGCAGCATGGGCCTTTCTCATACCCAGTGTTTGGAGTGGTCTGCTCAGTAGGCTGCACAAACCCACCAAGCAGAGGACTCCGCAGCCTAGCCGCAGGGAAACACTCCCATCCATAGCCAGGCCGCGGAGAGATCTGTCCAGCAGGCTTCGAGTACTGCTGGCAGCCGCATATTGACCCCAGGCAGCAGTCCGCAGCTTCACAACATCTCGGATCTGCATCACAACGGCTCCGACCATGAGTCACAAGGGATTCAAGCCACGCAGACTCTTGAAGACAGGGGGGACAGCGTGGAGACAGAAAATACGGGTGAAGAAGAATTAGGACGGGGGAAAAGAGTGAAATTTCCTTTGACAAAGTTGCGGGATTGCGTTACACACACCATTCGAAAAAATAAAGTCACATCTTCATCCGCGACATTCCCTCGTCAGGTACTCCCTATCCAATAACATATTTTGTGAATTATGATCGGTTTTCCGAAAAACATAGAAATTACATTGTTGTAGTAACAGAGACACGCATACCGAGATCTTTCAAGGAAGCAATGCAGCATGAAGGTTGGAGAGAAGCTATGGCCTTATAAATAAAGGCTCTCGAAGATCAAGGCACTTGGACATTGGAGAATCTTCCGGCAAGAAAGAAAGAACTTGGAAGCAAGTGGGTTTACACTGAGAAGAGAGATGAGGTCGGTAACTTGTTACGATTAAAAGCAAGACTTGTGGTGTTAGGTAATCATAAGGGATCGATTACAATGAAACATTTGTTCCAGTGGAAAAAATGTCTACGGTACATACTTTCTTAGTAGTGGCAGCGATTAAAAATTGGGATGTACATCAAATGGATGTACATAATGCTTTCTTGCACGGTGATTTAGAGGAGGAGTAGCCCCTTAACCTTATAAAGTGTTTAACTCTCTTCTTCAACCAATGTGGGACACTTACATGTGGTGATACTTGAGAGGTTTATTCTTCAACACTCCCCCTCACATGTAAGGTCCCTTTTAATTTTGTCTCATGTGATTTTTCGGGCTAGAGTGCTTCTTCACTCCCCTCACATGGACCTACTCTTGGCCTAGTGAACTTTTTAAGGTCCCATATCGTGGGCCTGGCTCTGATACCATGTTAAACGCGGGTTTGGGCCGCACCTGCAAACCAAGAGAGAGAGTTCACTTCTCACGATCAAAGGAGGTTACATCCCAAAACCATATGGCAATAGGAGGAATAGCCCCTTAGCCTTATAAAGTATTTAACTCTCTTTTCTTCAACCAATGTGGGACAATTACATGTGGTGACTCTTGAGAGGTTTATTCTTTAACAGATATCCATAAACCGAACCAATAAGTTCGGGTACCCGGATTTTTGGATCAGTTATCGGGTATCCAATAATGATAATTAAACTTAATAATTTAGTTATTATAATATCTTTTAACATTAATTAACAACAATACCACATGATCTTGACCAAATTATTAATAATATTACTAATCATCGATATTATAAAGTAATTATGAATTTAAGTAAGAGTTTAGATTTGGAAAAATAGATTTTAGTGGGAAGAAAAGGACAAAAAATTGCTTATCGGATCAGATCGGGTAACCGTTAATTTTAAAAGGATACACAATAACCATACCCGATAACAAATTATCGGAATGGGTACTCGAACCGTTATGGTTATCGGATCAGGTACCCTAATTTTCGGAACGATTACGGAATGGGGTTTCGAGTTTTCGGGTAGTTTTGCTCAGCCCATTACACATGGCAACTAAGCCTGTGTTAACCCATATGGTGAAACTAGATGAAGACCGTGCGATTCACGGTTTGTTTAAACTTTTTAAAATAATTTTTTTATATATATATTTATGTGCTAAAATTTGTTATATATTTAGATAAAATTCCTAATATCAAAAGATAATATTTTATATTTAATTAATTTAAACTGGAAAATCTCATTCGCCAATTTTGCTTACGTGTCATTTAAATTATTTAATTCTAAAAGAAATTAATAATCTCATATTTAATTGGCTACCACTAAAATTTATTATCCTACATGACGCGCTGAAAAAATTAAATCCTACGTGGCTCTCTAATTACTCGGGAAAAAACTTCCCTTTATATATATATATATATATTTGGGGTCAAATGAGAAGGATGAGAAGGATCTTATGTGCATAATTTTTATACTGAATGTGCATTTTTTTTTAGTTGAATGTGCATATATTTTTCGACTTAAATTCGACGTGCATAAATTTTAAACAAAATGTGCATTATTTGACTTCTAAATTGCAAATTGTTCATCCTCGTATTCATTTACCTGAGGAAAGAGATTTGGCAAAGCGACACTACCAATTCTAGTAGACATGCCAAGTTATTCTATAAATTTAATTTATTTGTTGCTTAGTTTTTCATTCATTCACACACCTAAATACACCCCGCTTCTCTTTCTCCCTCATCCTCTATTTCCATTAAAGAGTTCTAACTAACATTCACTGGCGTTGCCGAGAGCTTCAAAATGAATATCTATGATCTAAAATGGTGAAGATGATCAGATTGCTTCTATTGGAGGGAAGAATTGAAGGCAAGGAGATAAATAATCATGAAACTTGAGGGAGGAAGAGGGAGAAAATATGAATAGAAAATTTTTTGAGGACGGTAGTCGGTCTTGATTAGATGGAAAAGTAGTGGGAACTAAGAGCATTGCCACTAATGGGCATTTTTTTTGGTTGCCCAATCTCTCTCTAACCACTTTCTCACTCCTCCTCCCCATGGGCATTTTCTTGGTCATTTTTTTTCTACACCAATGGTCAAAATTATAATCCCCACCATTCTCTCTCCTATTTTTAACCCTATACCCCACCAATATTTATCTCTCCTACACATCATTAAATTTGTAATTTAGTATTTCTTAATTTTATTGTTAACTAAATTTTTTTATTGATTAAATTATTTATGAGTACAATATTAATTATTTTTATAATTATTTTATGCGAAATTTCATTTTTCATTAGTACAACATTAACGATTACAACATTGGAACATAATGATCGTACACCTATCATACAAACCAAATAAATTAACGATTACAAAACTATTTATTCATTTGTACGACCGTATTTTTGCCAAATATGCTCAACTAAATCATCTTTCAAAGAAAAATGGGTTTGGCTATCACACAGGGTAATTCTTCTTTGAATATACCCGTCAAAATCAACGTTTGGTGGTCGGCCAACGTCAAATTCGAAAGGCTCGTTGTTATTCACTGTGGCACTTATACTCGGACCGGACCTTGCTCTATGAATCTGAGGGCGATCTTCTTCATAATACCTTCTCAAAACTTCGGCACAAGTGTAATTGCGTCGTTCATCCTCGACAATCATGTTGTGCATAATGATACAAGCTTTCATTATGTCGCTCAAAATATCTTCGTCGAAAGCAAGTGAGGGTTGTCGTAATATGGCAAACCTAGCCTGTAGAACTCCAAACGCACGTTCAACGTCTTTCCGAGCTGCAGCTTGTTTATCTGCAAATAACTTGTCCTTCTGGAGTTGAGGATATGTGATACCTTGTATAAATGTTGCCCAATTCGGATATATACCATCTGTTAATTAGTATCCCATGTTGTACTCATGGCCGTTTACCATATAACTAATTGGTGGTGCCCATCCTTTCAAAACATGGTCAAACACCGGAGAGCGGTATAGGACGTTAAGATCATTACAAGAGTCGGGTATTCCAAAAAATGCATGCCAAATCCATAAATCTTGATCCGCAACAGCTTCGAGGATAAGGGTTGCGTTCTTGCTACGACCTGCGTATTGTGCTTTCCAAGCCATAGGACAGCTCTTCCACTCCCAGTGCATGCAGTCGATGCTACCGATCATGCCCGGGAATCCACGCATTTCATTTTGGTGAAGGATTCTCCTTAAATCTTCATCTGTTGGACTTCTTAAGTACTCGGCCTCAAAATGCTTGATCACCCCTTGAGTAAAATGTTGCATTGATTTTCTAGATGTTGTTTGACCCATGCGTATGTATTCATCTACGGCATCCGGAGCAACACCGTACGCTAACATTCTTATTGCAGCGGTGCATTTCTGCAGAGGTGATAAGCCAAGCCTACCAGCTGCATTCCTACGCTGCTGGAAGAACGGATCGCCCTCAACCACTTTATTCATAATCCGACAGAATAAAGGTTTGTGCATTCGAAATCGACGACGAAACTGATTTTCGCAAATGCCCTTTCTCCCTTTCTCTATCTCCCCTACGCTGCGGGACAATTTCATCTTCATTTACAATTTCGATCTCGGATGGAGGTGGTTGAGGAAGCATTATGTTAGGTAAGTGATTTGTGACAAATTCGTCAACTAGATTATCAAATTCCGCATATTGATCTGAATCAGAAGAATTTGAGCTTATGGAAAACATTTTCTGTGTTTGGTTTTTGAATGTTTTGGTGTTGTGGATCAATTTATGGATATCACAGCTTTAAATAGGAAAGCTTTTCAATGCATGTCCTTCAACTGAGTGTGAAAAGACTACTCAATGTATAGTAAAAACAAAATACATGACTACTCAATTCTTAATAATCAATACCAATGCTTGTCATACGGTTCAAGTTATGTATGAAATGACTACTCAATGCTTGTATAAAACAAAAACTACAATTGGACTTGGCTACTTTTTGGGATTTGACAGTTCAATGGTTGATAAAACCAACCACTTGACTCATAATTGTATAAGACAAAATCTACACACAATAGCTAGTACTTGACTCATAATTGAACAAAATATATAAAAATGTAATATAAATTGATTAATTTTTGGATAAAATTAATAATAAAAATTAATTCATTGCAACATAATAAACAAAATACTTGAAATCATAATGCATAATAAACTACTCTACTTTCCACCATACACTTCTTGAATTAGTTCCTCCTTCCACGCTTCTTCAGCTGGTGTAAGTGGCGTCGTTTTTGACATAATGGCTTGCAACATATCAAATTTCATCTTCTTCTCTTGTAATTCGACTTGTTTGTTTTTCCTCTTTTCCTTTTCCCTTTCAAGGTCCAACCTTTGTTGCCGTAAATTTGCCTCAAAGCTTCTAACTTCAGTACAAGCCTGTATCCGTTCACCAATACTTAAAATTGCACTATCATGAGCAATAGCTTTTCCCTTACGCTTAGCCTTTGCTTTTTTTACCCTGTCGGGTCTGGGTATACCTCCTGATGAAAACCCACCAACGGGAACATCTCCTTCAGCTTCACTGTTAGTTCTCGATCTCTTTCCACTTCCACTGCTATCCTCGGTGTCCCCTTCCGAACGCAGTTGACAATCCTGTCGTTCCTTTAGTGACAATGCCCATCTGAGTTTCGGCCTCCACTTTGGGTCATTCTTTATCATTTCCCAAGCGTGGGGAAAAACAAAATTGTGTGGTGGTTTGGATGATATATGGAACAACTTCGAAGCCTTTTGAATTCGATCAACTTCGTTGAATCCACTTCCAGTTAACGGACCCGCTTCATCGTAACAACTTGTCCATAACAGTACATCTGCCGCCATCCTTCTCCAACGATTCTTCAAACTCTTCGCATTTCTGGGTGGTAGTATTTCTGGCTGCCTAGCTTGAACCATGTCGTACGCCACAGATATTTGTCGCCAAAGTTCAGCTGCTTTCATGCCCGTACCCACTATCGCATTTCCACTGTATTTTAAATATAGCCCAATAAGAGCTTCATCTTTTGCGACTGACCAAATACGACTAGCTTTAGCGAGTTGTTGGTTGGAACCCACCGGCATTCTTTGAGTCGACGGAGGGTATTGAGGTGTCTCAGGCACATTTTCTTCTTGGCTATCATCGTACTGAGAGTTACTTCCTTGGTAGACAGGAGGTGATTGCTCGTAATCAGTGTTTTCAGTTGGAATTTGTGGAGGTATTTGTTGTTGTGGAGGTATTTGTTGTTGTGGAGGATTTTGCAGAGAGGTGTTGCTCAATCTTTGTAAGAAAAGTTGAAATTGAGGTTGATTCATGAAATTCTCATCTAAATCATTATAATTTTGAGAAAGTATTGAGTAAAAGGGGTTATTGGGATCCATATCTATTTTTTTTATTAATTTCAAAAACTAACACAACAATAACAATAATAATTATAATAATAACACAAATATAATAATAATAATAATAATAATAATAATAATACTAATAAAAAAAATAATAACAACAAAAATAATAATATTAATAACAATACTGCTATAATAATAACCATAATAATTATACTTCCAATAATAATAATAATAATAATAATAATAATAATAATAATAATAATAATAATAATAATATTTATTTTAATAATAATAATATTTATTTTAATAATAATAATTATAATAATAATATTAATAATAATAATATTAATATTAATACTAATATTAAAAGGATGACTAATTATGAGGGAGAAATTGAGAGAAATTGTAAACACAACAAAATTATGTGAATTTTGGAAATATGAAAATATAGGCAAAATGGGTCTCTATTTGTAGGGAATTTTTTTTTTCTAGCCGTTGGTAAATTTTTTTTTTTTATTTTAAAAGCACAAAATACCCGTTACAAAATATAACCGTTGCAATAATCAGGAATTTCCTGATTGGTCCAAGTTACTTGATAGGACGCGTGTCAGCGCCTGATTGGGCGTGCTGACGCGCCTTTCAGGGCTGCATTTATAATTTTTTTTTTGCTTTTCCTTTCCTCAAAACGCTGCGTTTTGAGTTGAAGCAAAGAACACGCTTCCTCAAAACGCTGCGTTTTGAGGTAAGGTGAGCAAAAAAAAAGTTAATTGCATATATGCACGTGGGGCCCACTAGTTCTTGGTCAGATTTTAATTTTGCCCAAACTTTGATCATAAAATGATTTGCCCATGGAAATTTTTTATTTAGCCCATTGATGGGGACTTTTTTTTTTTATTAAAACCCAAAAACTACCCATGGGTATTTTTCTCCACATTGGTGGCAATGCTCTAAGCTCTATAATCTTGTGAATTTGTCAGTACAGTGATAGTGAGAGATGAAATGGGTTTTTTCTGTTTCCAATATCTGTCGTTAGATTGCTCATATGAATGGTTGAGATTCCTTCTCATTTTAAGATCCTTCTCATTGGATCACAACCCTACATATATTAATATTAGATGGTTAACCGACGTTAAAAGTTTATAGTTTGATACTCCAATTGGACGAGTGAAAGGTAGTTCCTTGATCTATAAACTCTGACCTCCGACCAACAAATTTGTAAGTCATTTGTGTGTAATTGAATGCTTTCCAAGTTTTGTTTTTGTTTTTGTTTTGGCAATTTTGGCAAATTGCATCAAAAGATAGCCACCAACCAAAATAACCTATTACCAAATTCAAAAGCATAAATCAAACAAAATTACTTAACTATTTACCAACAATGTTGAACTATCTAATTATGCAATATATATATATATATATATATATATATAATCAATTTAATTGATCTCGGCTTCAATGGAGAAGAAGGGAATGCTCAACTTTAATGGAGAAATCAATAGAGGAGGAAAGCTCAATTACCCTCTAGGATTAAACCTGGCCCTTTATCTCTATGTGTTATTAGAATTTTTGTTTAATTCCGGCAGCTCAGCGGCAGAGCAGCCAAAATCAGTGGTGTCGGTAATGTCGAAGCAGCTTGAAGATGGATTGGAGAAGAGAGATGCTACACATAAACCAGGTTTATATGGGGTAGGCATAAACTCCCAATAGAAAAAATAAAATAAAACAAAAAAGGCCATGTCACTACTAGCCAAAATAAAGAGGGGGGGAAATTGGTTAGAATCAAATAGTAAAGGGGTTAAAAAAAATTCATTTGCAATACAACAAGAAGTTATATATGAAAAGTAAATAAATATTTTGAAATATATTAATAATAAAACTTAAACTTTTGGAATCTTTGTTTATATATTGTAATTAACTTAAACATGTTCATTAGCATTATTAGTATTGTCGCATTCTTTAATACTACCTCCGTTTCATGTTTTGCGACAATTTGACATAAAGTAGAGAGTAAAAACATCTAATCGTTGCAAATAATATAAAACGGAGGTAGTATTAATTTACCATAAGATTTCACGTGAGAAATTTATTTTTAAACGGAGGATATACAAATTGATTATATGAAATGGAGGTAGTATTAATTTAACAAAAAATGAAGTTACACTACTTCATATAAATATTAGATAATAATTGATTATTAATATGAATTACAATTATTAATATTGTAATATACAAATTCTATCACTCAATAAATTGTTTTAGCAAAAATTAAGATTATGCAAAAAGTATTTGTAATATCCCGTATTTTAAACGTATTTCTAATTAATTAATTAATTAGTATTCTCTTAAAAAGGGTATTTTAGTAATTTATTTTACTATTTGAATTTTGGAACCAAAATGATATTTTAATTTTGGTGTCAAAAGTATTTTAAAAACTCAATTATTATATTTGGATTTTGGGTAAGATTTATAATCCATTTATTTTATTTTTAAAAACCGGATTATTTATATATATTTCGGATGTTTTAATTAAACAAAATTAAATTTTCTTATTTAATTTAAAAGGACCGAATTTCCCTAATTAATTAGCTAAGATATTGGGATTTTCTAAGTAGAAAATCTGATTTTTCTTAGTAAATTAATCAGTGAATAATTGGTATTTTCCTATTTAATTATTTTATACAATATACTACCTCCGGTTCAATTTACTTGCAACAAAGGGTTATTATTTGTGAAACATAAAATATTCCTTTGTTGCGAGTAAATTGAACAAGAGGTAGTATATTATTTACACAATTATTTTTAAGCCTAAAATCTAGCAAAATAATTTCCTAAACACTACTAATATGGTCCGAAAATTTGGAGCTATGGACGGAAGCTTAAAATTTTCGGCCACTTTGGTTGGATTTTGGGTGATTTATTTTGGTAAATTGTATTTTAATTATCTTCTTAAAATCTCTTATTTTCCATCTCACAAAGATTTGATCATCTTATACCCCTACCTTATTTAATCCTTGATTATTCCCCAAGTAATCTCTTTTTCCATATTATTTTCATGACAAACACACTTTCCTAAATGCTATTATTCTTAATCACCTTAATATCAAAAGTAATTTCCTTAATTCTTTTTACCATAATTCTTCCTACATTCTCCTACCATAATTCTTTCATTTATGAGCCTATAAATACCCTCTCATATCTCTCATATTCTTCACACCAAAAATCAATTCTC